CTATCGAGCCGGCAAATGGCACAAGGTTAGGCAGATACGACGAACATAGACGAGCAGTTTTTTCTTTTTCAGTTGAATCCATTTCCACTCGATCGCTAACCACGGTCAATAATTCATGTAATTAAACACTGTGACGACATCCGTTTCGGAGAACGCGTTTGACCTAAGTCTGACTTGTTAGGTGAATGTGTCACTTGGCAGAGAATCTGGGTGTTTTTGGTGGAACCTGCGTTAGAATTTCGTACAAGGGTCAATGGTAGTAAAAGTGAAATTTTTTGTTGACATATAAAGATATTTTTCTCGTGTTTACGTAAAGCTAATTTGGAAGATTTATATCGGTAATTTAGTAGAATACTTTTTCTTCACTGAAGCAGTCTATTAGATTAGAGTTTCTTAGTTCTTAAGTCTTTTAAATTCGAGGAGAAATTAAATTTTTTGGAATATTTGTTGAAAATTGTGATAATTCTTTGTTTGGACAAGCTGCAGGTTTAAATTCGAGGAGAAATAACATAGTTCGTCTAACGAGGCAATTTTAAAAAATTTGAATTTAACGTTTTCTTTCGAAGAATTAAAATTAATATGTTAATTGTGGGAAAATAGCGATTGTGTGTGGGATTGGTGAAAAATTTCGTCTCTCTTGTGTCTGGTTTACTATGTTCTCCTATTGTTCGTAGATCTTTGTTCGCATGATGAAAGTTACGCGTCTGATGACTATCGTGGAAACCCACGTGGCGGGAAACGTGTTAATGCCTCCTCGACGAGGCCAACGTGCTTCTTACTTACACTTAATACGGGAAACATGAATAGAAGTAAGTTGTGAACGCGGTTCTTCTTGCGTGAAGCAACGGTTTATGAAATTGCACGTTTTTGATCCATATTCGTTTCACGCGAAACACTGTCATTCGTTGCTAACCCTTTATTGCGGTATTTCTGCAATTTTTATTTATGGAAAGTTTTGTTTGTAGATGAAACACAATTTAGTTAACACTTGTTTGAAATATTTAATAAAAAAATGGAAAATATTTGTATATATAGGAAACATTGCTATTAAAAAAATGAAAATTTGGCAGCGAAAGTGTTGAGAAAGTTGTAAGAAAAGGGTTAAGGTTGTGAGAAATATGTTCTAAAGTTAGCTTAATTTTTTGAACAAGACAAAAAGTGATTCTTACTTTGATAGGTCCTTCAGATCGAATTGTTTGGCCAGATCCTCCGATTTAGTGGGCAATACTAAGAAGATTCTTTTATCGTAGGATTTCCTCACTAGTTCGTCTTTTAAACCCTTCACAAAGTGTAGCAAACGTTCCTTTGATCCTGCAGTCATGTTCAACTCCACCCCGTCGACCTGTAGAAATCGATAAACGTTGTTTAGTCAATGATCGAGGATCCTTTCGGTGGTCAGGAGTAGAAATGCGAATTGCCTCTTTCAAAGCTCCGATCAAACGAGCTGCGATCTCCTGACGAACTGTGCCGGAAGTTCGGAGTGCCTTTCCAGAGTCGTCCACAGAAATCACGAACTGAAGGACCGGATTGATCTCTTTTAACGATTTCCGAAAGTCTTCGAAGTCTGAAAAGAGTGAAAATTAATGAAATTGGGGAAATGTGTGCAATTCGATGTGCAAAGAAAATCCTTTTTTTGAATCCAGGAGAAGTACGATTGAACGGAATGAAATCACAAAATTGGGGGAATTGAAAATTGTTGTGCTTGGAATTGTGAATCGAATTTTTAATCTTTCCTTACTCGTTGTATGCTTTTTAAATTTCTAAGCTTCTAATTTTTAATTTTTAAATTAAGAAATTTGCAAATTTTTAAATTGAGAAATTTGCAAATTTTTAAGTTAAGGAATTTCCAAATCTTTAAATTGTAAAATTTCCAAGTTTTTAAATTAAGAATTTCCAAATTTCTAAATTAAGAAATTTCCAAATTTAAAAATTGTAAAATTTCCAAATTTTTAACTTCCTTTCCTTTTTTTCTCTTCCACGTCTCGCTTCCACGTTACTTTTTACGCTCCCTTCAATCAGCGCAATTTTTCGCGTTCCCCAAAGTCTCGGTTAATTGCGAGGTAGATTCCGCGATAACAACGTTCGCTAGCAAAAACCGCTAGGAAGGAATTCCGGCTTCCTTTCCTCGTGGTTGTCAATCTCGTCGCACAATCAACACGTCACGATACTGTCGGGTGAAACGGAATCACTGTCTCCATACAATTAATCACTAACTTTCACGAATTTTCGTAATTGCTCGGCACAGTTTCTTCAACATTTCTACACTTCCATCACCACAATTTCACCGAATTTCCCATTCATTCCCTACAATTTTTCCAATAATTTTTGCTCGCACTTAAGATCCTAATCACCCAACTTTTCTACTTTTCGCGATAATATTCTTCCGCTAAAAAATTTCACCTTCATCTTATCCATCAAAATTTCACATATTCTAAGAAACGAATCGCACTTGACAAATTGCGCCACACGGGACAAGAATTCGGTGACATAAAAATTCAGTAACACGATGTTTATTTTATTCGCGAAATTACGTATGAAAATGGGGCACGCAACAAAACTGGTTTACCTCAAAACTTCCATATACGTTCGTCAATTGCAACTTCGACGCATATCCCTTCTTGTAATTTCTTCGACGAGCAATTACAGTTTACAGAGCATGTTACATAATAATAATCGTTTGTTACGTTGCACTCGAGAAATTCGGGCCGAATTTTGATTGTTCGTACCGAAGAGAAGCATTTACCATGTTGCACAAAAACATCTAAAAGGAGAAAGAAAAGGCGCGAACGCTAGAGGCGAAATAAGATTGAACAGCGTGCGAGGGAAAGTGATATTTGTTACATCTGGATCATCTATAAGAACCACTTTCAACGCCACTGTCCTCGCGTTTCATTAGCCGCACCCATGCACGAATTTGGCACGGGACACGTGTCGTTTTTCGAAACTCTTCGAAACGGCTCTTTCGACCGTATTATACAAGTTGTCTGTACATAATTTACAACGAGAAATTTTCATCTCGAAATTAATAGTATTAATATATCGGGTGAGTCACGGAATTCGGCTACGTCTCTTCTTTGGTCAAAGATAGGAGAAAGTTTAACGATATAAGGAGATCTATCTACCTACGACTTCACTTTTTTATTTTTCATAAGTGCAACGATGCAGTTCTTTTTTGAAATGAAATTTAATTTTTTTCTTTTTCAGGTGGATTTACTCTTTTTGAAAGTAAATTATAATATTCGACGAGATATTTCCAATTTGTTATGGCTTGTTTTTTATTTTAATACTTTCATGCACGGAATGTTTCAATCAGTTGATGAATGTAAAAAAAATGTGTAGTTCCATTTGATAAAAAAGTGCATCAACTTTTTTTTAGATGCCTTTCAACTTTCTCTCGAACAACTTTTTTCTACCTCTAACCGAACGAGAGATACATATAACCAGTCCCAATTCTGTGACTCACTCTGCATTATAGTCGATCTTCGATCATTTACATTTCATCGAAATGTGTAATTTTTTTATGTCAATTTTTTCAATTTAATTCGAGTAGCAAAAAAAAAGGCAGTGATATAGAGTACTCTGATACGAAATTATTAGGACACCCATTAAATTCGCGCAGAAAATAGTGTACGATTTAAATCACATTTCCTCGCAAAGTTAGTGTCATGTATCACGAAAAATATGTCTTCATTATACTATGAGATTTTTAGATTTTCAATTTTCTTCTTTTTTGATCATAATGATTCTGTAATGACTGTTCAAATTTCCTCCACATTCGGTGTCCTAATTCCTACGAATTCTGATTATACTCAAACAAAAAATAGCGATACGAAACATACTGTTGTATCAAAAGTGACGAAAAAAGCCTGCCGGCGAAAGCAGAGTAATTTGCTCCATTCTCCCAAAAATAATCACACACACACACGTTGCGTAACCGGTCTAATTAGTATAAACCCCGAAAAATAAGAAAAGGAAAGGACGGAAAGTGTCGTTGCATCGAACCCGCCTCCACTCGTTCCTTCGATATCGACTTTAATTGACGCAGGCCCGTTCGTTATCAAAAAATATATGCTTTTTCCTCGAAGCGAGACGATCGAACCCGACCATTCATGGTAAGAAACGGCGGCGAAAAGGAATAAAAGAAGAATCAACTCGTCGGAGCTCGTTTTCGCGCGATTATGTCACAAACGCCGAGAGACGACGACGACTCGTGTAGACATTTCTATTCTCGTCTCTCTCTTTCTCTCATCTCCATCCAATTTTTCTCCCTTTGTTACGACTCTTTTCTTCTTCTCTCGTTCTCGATCTCCACCGACGAATGTCGAATTTCACGCGCGACACACCGTCATCGGTCCAGCTTTGTTATGCATAACAAATTGATTTTGGCGAAATTTCGAAATCGCTCGATTTTTCTTCTTTTCTTCTCCTTCTTTCGACCGGGGCGTTTTTCACGTTGCGCAATATTCGGCGACAACGTCGATTGCTGGTACGTTGCAGAATAACGGCGTGATTTATGGGAGCAAAGTGGGTTGTTGCTAACCTTAATGACAATGTCGTTGACTTTATCGCGTATTCTGGTCGAAGTTCGACGATCGAACGAAGGAAAGAACGAGGATTCTCGGAGATTGTATTACTCGATAAAGTGTGAAGAGAGAAAAGACGTTTAATGAAGTTGCAGGAGTGTCTTTAGTAATGACTCGTTTTACGAGATTTCGCGGCAATGTTGCAGTATTAATAAGAGAAAAGTCATTCTGCGAAGCAACGGGAGAAGCAAACGGCGAAAGATTTTTATGGAATTTCATGAAAAATCTTGCTTAACGTTTAATTTTAAGATCGATAAGAATCGATGCAATTTGTAGAATAAATATTTCGACATTTTCGAGAAAATATTGAAGGATTAGCTTTCAGATTGTGTCATTTGATTTTTCTCACACGATTAATTAATCATTTGGAACAGAAATTGATCTTAATCCGGTATTTGTTATAGAAGAGATGATCGGTGGATATGTGACAAATTTAAAGAGAAAGAATTCGGTGACGAAAGGGTTAAATTGTAAAATGTGTATGGAAATTAAAGCTTGAAAGTTTCAATTGTTTTCAGAAAGAAATGCACGATGTTTTGTATTCTTCGAAAATTAACCCGATCGAATCGCTTGAATATTCATGCAGCATTGCATTGTATGAATACTTTAGCGACCTCTTGCACCAGACACGTCTGTGGTTTGGTTTTATATATTCTAGACACCTGATTCTTTCGATTCTTTTGTTTGCACAGTTCAAGGGAAGCCTTTGACTTCGTTTTAGTCTCGGTATTAAATTCATTTTTTTGACATTAGCGTAGCATACGATTTTCTATTATCATAGACATCAAATTTTGCATAATTGTAAGTTTCCTTCGATACCAAAATTTCTTAATTTCTAGATATCAACGTAACATACGAGTGTTTATCGTTATAAACATCAAGTTTGGTATAATTGAAAATTTCTTTTCGTATAAAAATTCTGTGCTTGATGCAAAAATAATTTATTAATTTTCAAAAAATTAGAATAGCACACGATTTTTCATTATTACACAGACAAAATTTTGTATAATTTTGAATTTCTTTCCATATAAAAATTCTGTCCTTCGTGCAATAATAATTTATTAACCTTCAAGAAATTAGAATAGCACACGATTTTCTATTATTACACAGATAAAATTTGATATAATTTCAAATATCATTCCACACAAAAATGAATGTTATGTCGAATAGCACACGAAGCACTACAGTTATCGATAAAGTTCGCGGTAATCGATTCTGAAATATCAACGAACTCGTATGACATCATTCATTAAAACGGCGACAACCATTAATCACGATAATAAAGATAGCAGTATCGTCCAAAAGTTACCGACACGAATATTTACGTGTAATATGACGTATAATTGAACGATCATCGTTTAAAAAAAGAAAAAAGAAAACGGTTCAAGCAAATGAAAACATCGACAAAGTGACTTGTCAATTGAAATACGACGACAACTCTGATCAATGTAACAAATTATCACCAGCTAATATCTCCGTTAATACGTATTTCCGATTGAAAAATGACAAATTTAACATTGGAAGAGGTTGAAGATTCGCGGAACGTTCGTTGTATATTACGCATATCCGAGAGGTTTGATGACGGAAACCGAGAGTTGATTTCTCAAGACTGACAACATCGCCGAACGTAAGAATATACGCGAGCTGTGGTTGGATTTCGATATCCTGTTGCAAGTGCAAGGGTACAGCTGCACCTCTACGGATGCAGTGTTTATGCAATCGTGGAAAAAAGTACACAGTCGTGGGGATTATGCAACGTGGAGTACTTAACAAAAATGATAATTAATATATTCCTCCGAGGAACGATTCGAAAAGTATTCGCGTATCGGAGAGATCATCGAGTTCCTTTGTGATAAGCTTGAAACATTGCGTAACTTTCTGTTGCTCGAGAAAAATATTCGTTGCGACGGTTTTATAACGCGTAATTAAAATTTTATTTGAAACAGAGTAGAAATTGTCGAGAAAATTTGTACAAAATTTCAGCGTAGAAATTGCTACTATCTCTTACGGTCATTTGTAAGTTTATTTTGCAAATTGAAAAGAAGTACTTTCGAGGGTAATTAGGCGAGAGCAATTAATTATTCCTCGTTAAAGAAGCGTCTTACTTTCATTCGCGTTATCTAACGCTATCTTGTTTCATTTAACGAGCATTTCCTGCACGATCGCAATTACCACGACGACTGAGATTTTTTGAAATTTCAGTTCTCTTTTCGACGAAAATCATACTTTTTCATCTCGATCGTTAAATCTGTAATTTATTATTAAGATAATCGGTCGACGTGATTACGAGTTTTTCACAAGGCGTGTTTCTAAGAATGTGTCTCATTGTTTGCTGGATAATTTACGACGATTTTTCCGCGTGTTCGTTTGCAACGAATAAGAAATCATCTGGCATAATCACTCGGCATCGATCGTCCAGCGATTATCGCGAAAGAAGGGACTTGTCTTTTAAACGATCGTCGTCTCACGTTGAAATTAACCCATCAGTTTCTCACTCCATACGATTATTCGCAATTACAGCGGATGATATACGCCGTGGACTTACCGGAAGTCGTGAGATTTCGCACATCGTGGCCTTGGTGCACCAGAGTGGTGCATTTGCAGACGGATTCCGTTAGCCGTTCGACGTCGGAGACGGAAGTGTAGCACACCACTTCTCTGCCTGGGGAGATCTTCTGTTTCGGGCATTCTGTGAGCAATTGAAATTTTATCTAACACTTGTTCCAATGAAGAATAGCAGAAAAGATTTTTTTTTTTTATTGTAACCCTTGATATGCACATAAGAGGTTCACGAAAATAATTATTCTTCAAGAATTCGGGGGTGAAGAATTATTTTGTCATTTTTTAATTAATAGTGGTAATTATGAGTAAATTCGTAACACATAAGAATGTTTAGAATAGAAAATAAAATTAGAGATTTGTTTTTAGCATTAATAGAATTATTAAAGAAACCAGAAATTAAAAATTGTGAACTTTGGGATAAAGAATGATTGCATTTTTTAATTAATAATACTGAATTTAGCACAAATTTGTAACGTGTACAGTGTTTCAGGCAGACCTCAATTTTCTTGTTTTAAAGAAACTACTTCGTGAGGACAAAATTTATCGGGAGCATCGAGGATGTTAGAAAATTAGAGCTCTATTATCGAGTAGTAAATTGTCTTTGTTCCACGTTCAGTCATCGCGGGACACTATAAAATTATACTAATGAAGCTTCAACGATGCATGAAACAGCGTTCAACCTGTAATCTATTAATACCGTTTTTACGACTTCATCAGTGCACGCGGTTAGAGTGATTTACGCTCTCGACAGAGTGTGACTTGAAATAACGGTATCGATCCGTGATTTTCCGTGACCATGAGTGCGATAAGAGGGGAAAAAAAAAAGAGAGGCGAGCCAAAAATTAGTAGCTTCTGGAGATCCGTTTGTTATGTACATTGATTGAATGTTGCCGTTGACATCATCCTTCGCGTACGCTATGCAACCGTTGCTATAATAGTCGTTTACATAGCCTCGCAGCCTTGCGGCTCGCCGACAAGAAAAAGAAGAATCATGCAGTAGACGATCTGCACAAGAAAACAACTCATGGAATAGCGTGTGACTTTTATTGTTAATAAATTTCGTGACTGATGGTAGGTTTGTTGTAGAAACGGTGAGAAAAGAGTTTTTTCACGGTGAAGAACGATGGGAAAAAGTGTCGATCACCTGGGTTCTCTGAAAATTCATTTCTTCGATTCGGGAAACGTGAATGGAACGGTAGAAGATATTTAATTTTTCAGAAATTTTATTATCCTTGAAAAATTAATTTTTGCAATAGGAAAATTGGAATAACAACGAATGGAGAAATTTTCTTCTGCAATTCGACAATAGAGCCTTGACGAAGTCGAATTTTTGAGAAATTTGATTATCAGTAAATTTGGAGCAATTATGAATGAGAAAATTTTCTTATGCAATTCGTTCATTTTCGAATAATTAGCAGTGTTCAAAAAATCGAACTTCTCACGGAAATCGAACAGACAACACTTTCGCCACCAGAATCAATAAAATTGATAAGCAAAGCGCTACGTACGTTCACATCTGTAACAATAATCTGACTGGACAGTGATAGTGAAAGGTCAGAATTATCACTGAACTTTTTACCTGTAACAATAACAGCCAATTTGATATAGAGGGATCGGTCGAACGGAGAAAGTGGCGATGGGATCACTTTTATTTTCTCAAATCGCGTGATCTTCGGCTACGTTCGAAAACGAAAGCCTGTTTACCGAACTCTGTCTCTGAAGAAAGAACAGACAGATGCACCGCCCATGAGAGGAGTCTATTCCCTGGGGAATTTTTGCACGTGCTACCAGCGAAGATACGACCGGATTTCACGACGTAAACGGTGTACCGTCCTTGTACGGATCGTTGCTCCAGTTGTCGATGGCGTAATCTAACCTTAGAGGACAACGTGTTCCCGATAGAACTGGCGAAACTGCGTGAAACGAGAAGAAGATCGGGGAGTGACGATGGGCGTAGCTTCTTACAGCACTTAGATGGCTTTCGTTTCAATTAAAGAGGTTACTAACTGTGACCTGATGTTCTGCAGGTGTTTGCCACAGAATAAATTGCTCCTGATCGCGACACTTTGCAAAGTAAAGTTTTCGTTCATTTATCAGATTTTTCTTGAGATTTTCTGATTTAATTAATGACTGTTTTTCTGTCAGAAAATCGTGTTTTAAAAAATGTTTCAGGTGGAATTCAACGAAGTAGAAACTCTATTGTTGGTGTTAATGATTGTTAAGTCTTACGGACGTGGAGTAATTAATTTCGTAAGCTGAAAGTTTGCAAGAGGTTACTCGTGAAAAGCGAGTTATCTACGCAACGTAGCGCACACTTCATTAGGCGCTCTCCATTCATCACTCTCATTCATAATCACAGGCAGCGGTACTTTGGACTTGAAAGGAGCGTGACAAGCACATTTTCTGTTTAACAACGTGACGTAAAACTATCTCTATTCAATGATAGTAGAATTCTGAATTACGTAAATACTTCTACTCTGCAACTTGCAACTCGAAAGAAATTGAAACCATCCCATTCAGTCGTATTAATTTCATTCAGCTACACTTGCAACAGGTGTTACATATTTAACAACGAGGCATCGGTAGAAACGGGTAAAAGATTCGAGAGAAATTGAAACCATCTCTATTCAACCATTTTGAATTATCATACATAGAGACCTCGGCTCGGTAACTTGCATCCAGTTATACTTGCAACACGAGGCATAAATAAATAAAAATGGATGAAAAATTCGAAGGAAATTGAAATCGTCTTTATTCAACCGTACTATTATTCTAAATGAAACACCTCAGCTTTGCAACGAGCAACACGTATTATAGTCTAAGTTACTCAACCCTGAACCAGCGAGAAAAACGAAGCACCCAAGAAAACCGTCTCCAAAACACCATACCAAAAATCACCAAAACGATGACAGAAAGTGAAACTTACGCAAGCCATGGGTAAGAGCCAGCAGTCCTGAGAGGACCACTAAGCACGTCCTGCCGATCATCCTCGACTCGTCTCTTCCTCTCGATATCGTCCAAACTCCGTTAGATCGGGAACGGTTCCGCGCTCGTGGTCCCAAGAAGCGACACTGTAGCCGCGAGATCGGCGCTCATCGAGGATCGAAAAGGGGAAGGATCGGTTTCCCGCGCTGTTAGCTGCCAGGTGGCAGCAAACAAGTCTCTCGTTCTTCTCGAGAGGCAACGAAAGCCTCTCTCTTTTTCCGTCTTTCGTATGGTCGGCTGTCCTCCTGTATTAAGAGTGGGGGATTAAAGGAGGCCGAAGGATCCTTCGAGTTCGAGAGCGCGTTCAGTACTGAACCTTTGGAGGATTCGTATGCTCTCTTAGTAAACCCTACCGATCGGATGGAAGCGCGCGGGAACTTCGAGGGAGATGGAGCCCGTGAGGATAGGATCGGACGGGGGAGCCGAGAGATCGGATAATACGGGGACCAAGCCGGATCACCGGATGAAGAAGGGTGGGGTTAACACGAGCTGGCCCAGATCGGGACACTTTCCGTGTTACACGTACGTTACCTGTAGCGGACACCGGTTAAAAATAGTATGACGTTTCACGACGAGCAACGATCCTCCTCTTAACGATCGCTCAGCCTGTTTCCGTGTCACCGGATCAAGGTGACTCTACCGCGCACACCGATCGAGCGAGTTTCGTCTTTTTAGAACCAATGTTCCTTACTACTGTTCTATCTACCGGGGGAATTTTTCGCGGATGTAACGTGCTCGGCTTGTTTACCATACTGATTCTCTAGCACTTAGGAGACGATCCCAATGACCAGGTGTTATTTCTCGCGCTGTTAGCTGAGAGTGCGGACGAATCGAAACCGCGGAATTGCGTAACGCGTGCATGGAAAGGCTGTTAAGATGCAACAGGTGTTTGTTGGGAAATTTCGGCAACTGAGGGGGAAGTTGACACCGGTAACATTCAAGGATTCTCGTTTCTTCCTTTTGCGCGATTCTTATGCAGAGTTCGAGACCGCGGAATCTGCTTCCGTTAGAGGTCTGTCTGGGCTAACCCCAAAGTGAAACGTAGAGCAAAAGATGGATCGAGTTTCCTGGTAACCCGGTCCTTTTTCACACTCCAGTATTTCCACTATGGGAATATTATTTTACATCGAGGACTCTGGGTTAGGGTTTTCAATTGAATGGAGAGGGGAGGTCTAGCGATTTTTAACAATTTTTTTTGGCTAAACTAGTAAAGATATCGCGATACTTCTTTTTCAGGTAAAAAGAAGCATCCTTAGACTGTGATACAAAAATTTTACTCGACGTAAATTTCAATATTTCTATTGTAAATTTCGATTGTTTCACACGTTGAAACTGGCCTCCCTCTTAGAACAATCTTGCCAGGATCATGATCAACAGGTGTCTCGACTAGAAAATTTCACATCGGACGAGAAGCCTAACCTTCCACTATGGCCATGAGTCGAGTCAGTTTTTCCGGGGACATTACTCAAGTGTGCATGATTATTAATAATTTTCTATCGCTATAACAGCGTTAGAATGAGCGCAGCTCTGCAATTAGACTGTCAAACGTGTGTACACCACTTTCATCGACACACAGTTGTTACGTTCTCTCCCGTCTCGGACAATTCCTCCGGCGTGTTTAATCCTTACAGGATTCGTTCGATCCTTCTCTAAAGATAGCTCGAGTATGACCCTCGCTCGCGTTACGATCGAACACGAAGACAGGCTGAGTCTCTTTTTCTCTCTCTCGGGAGAGGAAACGCGTCCCTTTCGCGATGATTCAATGCGTGAACTTTAACTTGTCTCCGGGTGTTTTATGGCCTCGATGTTATTTTTGCGTGAGATAAACGGAATCCTTTTTGTACCTGAATGGTTTTCGCCTGGCGAGAAACACGCGTCACGACAGCCTGGCTCGAACTACCACCGTGTAATTCGAATCATCCTTCTTGCGCGTTAAAATCCTGTGCATGCACGTGTTTACCGGTTTATCCAGTATCGACGATAAACTCGGCTGCTGTTGGATTAATCAGCTACGTATGCTAATCGACAATAATCACCGTCGCACACGCTTCACTCTGTGCGTTACGTCATCGAGCGTATTCGCGTATTATTTTCACGTTTAAAAGGTGTATTACCAGTTAACGCGTGACGAGCTTGCCCGACGACTGGTCGTTGTTTTAATAATAAATCGCCGGTTTTTACGTTGGACGATCGATTTTAAAATAGACATCGATCACGTCACTTGACGCGTTCCGCTGTTAGGCTTTATTTCACCGTTTCACGGTTATACACGGCGATTGTCTTCCAACGATTCTGACTGTTCCGAGGAAAATATAGTTTCTGTGTAATAATGCTTGTGAGAAAGCAACGATCGTTAGATTGTGTTATTTATTGCGAAACTGTAGAGCGTTTGCGTGCAAAGGTCGAAGTGTCCCGGGTAACGTTTTAGAAATTCGTGAAATCTGATCGATCGAGATGATAACCAAAAAAGGGTCGATATCTGTTGGAACGGATAGATCGTTGAAAGGAGATCGTCATCGACACTGTGACTGAATCGTGAGAACACTTCGTTCCGAGAAAGGGTGTACAATCATTGGCGAGACGGTGCTGGCTTGTGTTTGTTTCCTGATAACTGTGACATGTGCTAAGTAATGAAAAATTAACGACGGAAATGCAGTTCTGCGGTTCTTTTAATTATTGTCTTTATCAGAGCTAGTGTCGTTGGAAGAATCTTTCTGCGATGAAAAGAAGTTTCTTGGTCTTCCAAGTTCAGGAAAAATTTGAGATACCTATAGAAATTACAGATCTCGGTAAATATTTATGGAAAAAATTTTTTATGATCTACAATCTTTGTAGGTATCCTAAATTATTCGGGAACTTCGAAGATAAGGAAAAATCTGTAAAATTATTAAATCTTAAAAATTTTGAGATATTAAGGCTTCGGCGTTTCAATTTTTATTTGATTTTTTAAAAATTCAACAATTCCATAATTCAATATTTTCGTGAATATTTGTCAGGCGAAAAAAAATCCAGCAGAACTGTTAGCAGCGTAAAATTTATTGTTTGACGAAAGCCTCTTCGACGTATATCATCCGCGCCATTATTTTACCAAAAACGATTTCCTCCCAATAAAATATCGCGGGCTGGCACTGAAAGCAAGATGGATGATCAGGTGAATCATCGCCGATAAGGTCGTCCCGCGAATATCCAGGTCTGCATATATACGTGTTTCACGCCGTTGCAGTTTCTTCCTACGAATTACGTCACGTTCCACAAGCACGACAAAGAATGGTCCAACGCTGTCGCGATTTCCGTGGCGAACTTTAATGATTACCACATAGAATCGACACTTTTGCGCCTGCGATAAATTTCGAATGAATTATCGTAGCCCCTTGAAAGAAACCTTTCTGTCCCCTTCCCCGTTTTCGTCAGCGTGGGATTCTTTTAACGAGAATCCGTTTCCTCCGGCTACTCTTACGTACGATCCTCCACTTCTCGAAAAATCACACCTTAACGAGTTAAACGAAAAAGAAGAATAATTCGATCCTCGAAAGATGACATTTTTAATTTACGAAAAATTGCAGAAACCTTTATAAAAACGAACAAACTGAACATTTTTAATAACATTTTCATCGGAAAGCTTTGCAGAGGGAAGTACACTGGACTTTTTCGATTTTATAAATGAAAGGTCTGTTACGTAGGTTTCACTTTTTTCTGCTCGTTGTATATTAGGATTACGGTGCTTCTGGCGACGAAATCTTGATCCCTGACAGGTATCGACCGTTCGAGGGATCAAGAGGCAAGCCTCTACGTCCGCGATGACAACGAAAGGAAAGCGACGCGTCCATCATTCACGCGCTTCGGGCGATCTGGTGCAACAGCAGCAACAATGCAGGCACAGATATGTGCGTGCACAGTGAGGGAAAGGTACCTTTTAGAAAATTGTCGAGACCGTAAAAAGGCCGCGGTCACTTGAAAAGGAGACACCTACCTTCTAGTGGGCGTTTAGGTGTCCCCGCGCCGCCTTTTGCACGCCGTGGGTTTCTTCGTGACGCACAGGTAGCATGTTCCGCGACTGAATACGACTCATTACGTGATGGGGAAAATATTTTTTTCATACGCTTCACCATCGATTTTCATCTGTCTGGAAGGCACTTCCTGTAAAAGTTTCCTTTTCGAGGTCTGGAAAGGAAGAGTTGTTTTCTGTATTTCTGTTTTTACGCAATGAATTCGAATTTCCGCGGAAAAGTTTCGTGTCTTGTTGGATTTACGAGAAAAATTGAGTTGAAGCATTCTAAGGAAAGGGATTTTTGATCATCTTTGAAAATTCGTAGCTAAAGAACCTAGTGAGCAAAACATTTTTCAAACGGCTGAAATTAAGGCTTGAATATTGTACTTTAATATGAGTATACCAAATCTTTTATCGGAGGCGCCGTTGAATTTCAGGAACGCTTTGAAGAATTTTTAATAAAAGTGCATTTTAACCCAATTTTTCTCGCAAATTTGACGTGATAGGACATTTCTGCTTACGGATTTGAATTCAGCGCACAAAAAGTTACAGAAAACTCCTTTCCCTTCTCAGACTGCAAAATTATGCAGATTTTATATTTTTTTTAAACGAATTTATTAATAAAATTATTTCGCAAATTTTCTTTTTTCGTTCACAGGTGCAGAAGCTTTATTTTTCTTTTTTAACACAATCATTCTCTCCATTTTTTCCCATAAGCTTTTAATAGTCGGTTAGTTATCGTAATGAAAATCTTCACTGGAGTGTGAAGGCAATTAAACGTGTAATGCTGTATCTCTATTAGGTAATGCTACGCTGAATAGATCGAAGACTTAATATCGCTTGATACCTGTAAATCGACAATAAATCGAATGCTATAATTCACTTTAATTCTTGCACATTTGCAATCAATTTGCAGCTACAAATTTCCACTTGTATCATCCGATACATTGTAATCCCCCATTACCAAGAGTACAAACGAGTAATCCACCATTTTTTCTACTAATTGATTCATTTATTCCAAAACAATTTCCATTATTTTACCATCTTCCAGATTTCATCTCAGCGACGAATTCAAAAATTCAAATCTCCACGCGATACTTCAAATTTGTCTCTAATAATTTAAATGATTAATTACACACCAGTGAAACAAAAAATCAGAATAATTCCATTCTATAGACGAAAGAACGGAACCTCTTTCGTTGAAAAAAAAAGTGTCACAGACAAGAGTGTCGCACGAAAATACGCTCAACGTGTGACGGGGAAGCTCGAGCGTGATTAAAAATTTATTCCACGACGTAAGAGGTTGTATCTGGGAATAAAGGGAATGCGTTTCGGTTATCGTGCCGATGATCTGTCAAAACAACAAAGCACGACGATGAAACCGGCCGCCCCGTTGTCGCGGCTATAGGCCACGTCTCCTCGTAATTTACACGCGAATCGTCCTTCGCGCAAAGTCACTTGCCAAAATATCATACGGCGAAACAATAAAAGGATTTCGGAGACACGCGAGGTCAGGGAAGCGGACGTAAGCCTGGCTGAATTACGAGGAATACGCGCGCGACGAATACCATACCGGCCCAGGCGTTTCCACACGATCATGCTTGTTCGATATTGTGGCACAAGGGCGCGAACTTTTAAAGTCTAGGCTTGCGACACGGCGACAAACGTCGCTAGACCTGCTCAGTTCTCGAGACGGATCGTTTTCAGCCAGATCAAAGATAAAAAGCTTGATGAATCGTAGAGAAATAGTGGAAAGATGAGAAACTTCTGTTTGATACTTTATTTTAGTCTCTGGTCATTTATTTTATAATAGTTACCATTTTTAAGGGAGTCTTTTTGGGGTTGGATTTAAGAAGAATGAGATTTCTTTTCTTACACTTTTTGGTATTTTAATCTAATATGAATTGAAGGTTTCTAATATTTTTCTATTTTTATTCTAATACAGATCTTCAGGGGAAAATTGTGTTAAAAAATGGAACATTTGCGCCTCGTACTTGGTCTCTTGTAATTTATTTTAGTTACCATTTTTAAGGGAGTCCTTTTGGGGTTGCATTTAAAAATAATTGAATTTGTTTTCATGCACTTTTTGGTATTTTAATCTAATATGAATTGAAGGTTTCTAATATTTTTCTATTTTTATTCTAATATACATCTTCAGAGGAAAATTGTGTTAAAAAATGGTTTCTTGGTTTCTGGTCATTTATTTTAGTTACCATTTTAAGGGAGTCTCTTTGGCGTTAAATTTAACAAATGAAATTTGTTTTCATGCACTTTTTGGTATTTTTGCAATTATTGGAAGATTTGCATTCGATATTTTGAATTTTCTGTGAATTATAGGTTTCAAATATTTTTCTACTTTTATTCTAATACAGAACTTCGGAGGAAAATCGTGTTAAAAGGATGAAAAGTTTGTTCCTGGTACTTGGTCACTGTCAATTCATTATAGTTACCATTTGAAATTTTTTTAATGGATTTTTGGATTTAAAAGCAATTAAATCTCTTCTCCTTTCACAATCCATAGAAGATTTGAATTTAGCATTACAGTCTATGAATTAAAAATTTGCCAAGAGGAATTTCTCTACCATTTCCTCAATACTCAACACTCTTTTCCTTTCACACCTCCAACGATAACTATACTCACGCTAATTCCGAAAATTCATCGTCCACTTCACGTCACGTTTCTCTTCTCGTTTCGAAAGATTACAAATGTACCAGAGTTGCGTTAAGTAATCACTCATTTACCCGCGAAAATAATGGCCCGAATTTTTATTTTCGCCCTACAATGATTATAATTGGGTAATAATTTTTCCGTTGTAGCTTTACCACGCGTGTCACGAGACGGGAAAATGTTGTATATATGTACATCGGCTATTTATTTTTGAAACGTGCCGCATAAATATCGAGAGGTG